TGGAAGTCATTCTAAAACAAACCTGGGTACATGTGATCTGGTGTTCACAGGGAAGATGAACCTTTTTGAGCGCTAATGTTTCACTTCAAACTAAAATGTCTAACAGGATATGAATTTAATATTTAAGTAAAAACATTTCCATCAGCACTAACATCATGAACATTCAAGTCTTTCTCTCTCTCCTCAGTTGCCAGATAGTCTAGCACAGTGGTTCTCAAACTATGGTACGTGGGCTCCCTGTGGTGGTACGCAAAGAAATCTCCACAATATAAAAAAAAAAAACAGTTCAGCATAAAACTACAATTTTTTGTTGTTGTCATACTCCTATCTTATCTGTCTTGTATCTATTGGGTTGTATTTATATCAAATGTGTTTTCCCCTCTAAATTAATCTAGTTTTTGCAACAAACAACTTTAATCTGCTCACACATAAACAACAACAGGAGTACGCCTCCCGTTTTGAAAAGTTCCACTCGATATTCCACAAGCAGCTGTAGGCCTACATTAACAGAATATAATATATCTGTTAATGTAGGCCTACATTAACAGATATTCTGTTGTTTATTGGAGTTCAGCACACAATCGGCAGCAAGCAGCTGTACATTTACATTTTTAAAACGGAGCCAGGAGAAGCTTCAGTTTTGATGCATGTACGGACAGCTGAACTTATCGCTCCCCCTCCCTCTCGGAAATATACTTGGGCCCACTTATCGTGTTTGTGTGGGAAACACTGGAGACTAAATACTCTCAAACAGGTTGTTGGTATAAAGTTGTCATTTTTATTGTTCTACACTTTTTTTGATTTGGGTAAATGTCAGTGTTGTGTGGCGTTTAAGCGCTAGACCTTAGTAGTCCTATAGTGTAGCTGCCAGACTCGACCATCCACCCTCTCATCCCTCTGTGCTACTCTACATTTAAGTCATAAAAGCCCCAAAACAGAATCTTGAAGTGAATACAGAAACCTGCCTCCTCTGTACAGAAGGGAGCGATGCAGGAGACACGGAGCGTCTGGAGGAGCTCCCCCTCTGCAGCTGCAGGATGGAGGCTCCTCGCGTGGAGTGCAGCAGCCAGCGCGTCAGCAGACAGTGCATGGCCACCGAGAGCGTCAACGGCGAGCTGAGGGCGTGCATCAGCCGGACCATCAAAGGGGAGACGATGCGTCCGTCCAGCCGGGTTCCCCTCATGGTGCTCTGTGAAGTCCATCGCTCGCACATGGTCAAACACCACTGCTGTCCCGGCTGCGGGTACTTCTGCATCGCGGTGAGAAGCTGCTGTCAACATCTAAATAAACTCTTTGATCTCCTTCCTTCCTCTCCTCCTTCACAGACTACAAATCCTACCTCCTCTTTCTCCTTTGATATTCTACCCTCTGAACTTTTTACTTTCCTCATCTTTTTCCTTCTTGGTGTCCTTCTCTCCTTCTCTTCATTATTCTCTCCTTTTTATATCCTCTCCTCCTCAAAATCCCACTTTCTCCTCCTTTCTCCCTCTTGATATCTTGTGTTCTATAACTTTTTTCTCTCCCTCAGTTTACTTTTTCCTCCTCCACAAAATCCTACTTTCTTCTCCTCTATCTTTCAGATTTTTCCACTTTTTACTCAGTATCTTTCTTCTTTACTTTCTCCTCAATTATATCCTGTTTTCTTTTCCCACTTCTCCACCATTTAATCCGACTTCCTCATGCTGTCTCTCGTCTGAATCTCTTTCTGCTCAACTTGACATTTCAGCTTTTACTTTTTGTCTCCTTGTTTCCTCTGACCTCTCCTTCTCTCTAACCTCCATTCTCTTTCTTCTTTCATTCTCAGGGCACTTTTCTTGAGTGCTGCCCGGACCAGCGCATCGCTCACCGTTTCCACCGCGGCTGTGTGACGGTGCTGAGCGGCGGGCGCAGCAGAGGAAACGGAGGCGGCGGTATGATCTTCTGTCCTCACTGTGGCGAGGACGCTTCAGAGGCCCAGGAGGTCACCATCCCCTCGTTCAGCTCGGCCACGGCCTCCGCCACCACCGTCGTCACCATGTCCGCCTCCTCCACCACGACCCCGTCCCTGCCCCCGTCTGTCCCCACGGCGCCCTCACTCACGGCGTCGACGGGAGGGATGAAGGACGGGAAGATGCCTGAGAGACCGGTCAGGTAAGACTGAACGATGTGAGTGAAGTTCAGCATCCTTTTTAAATCCTAAAATGTCTTTTTAAATTGAATTCCTCTCTTCTCCTCCAGCGCTCGTATGCGTAGCCACGGGTTGGTCAAGCCGGCGGTGGAGCAGCAGCCTCCGCAGCCGGTCGCCTCTGCAACACCTGCGACCGCCGTCCCCCCAGTGGAGGAGGGCGTGGACAGCGTGGGTCCCTCTCTCTGTATGCCTAACGGGAAACCCATCAGTCCAAGTGCACTACCGCCCGGGCCCAGCAGGGCGTCGCTGCAGAAAGCTATCCTCACTCAGGACACAGAGAGGTCAGAAGTACTTTGATTTTTTTATCCATGCCTTTGATGAACGGTTTAGTAACTATCCTTACAATAAGTGTGAGTCGTGTCTGCTATTTATTTTCTACTTGTTTTGAAGAAGATTTTAAGCTAACAGTTCAGAAATGAGCAAAACTGGAATATGATTTATCTGCAGCAGCCAAAGTTATTTCAACATAAGTTAATTTCTCTTCATAAAAGTTTATTTTTTATTTTTTTTATGACCAACATTGTTATTGTTTTCAAATGTTTTACAACAGTGCAATACCAGACAATAAATGATATAGAACAATACCCAACAAGGGAAACACTATCAATGCAAGACAAAATACAGACCTGACAAACAAAAATTATAATTAAGTTAAATTAAAATATATGTAAATAAATAAAGACATAAAAAATAAAAATAACAAAATTCCACAACCACAACATGATTATTTCAGATTAGGCTGCATGGAAGTGTTAAGTTGTGTTTCCATAAGATTTACAGGGGGTGATAAAATAAGTTTTAAAATCTTTAAGAACAGTTTGTTTCAAATCTGCAGCCTCGGCAGAAAAAAAATACAGACTTGTTTTTTTAGGGAGGATTAGAGCAAAAGAGAAAATATTTCTTTTTGTGTGTCTGTGTTTTGTTTTTCAGTGAAGTTAGCTGATGTTCAATAGAAACATTTAGACCAATTTTGTGATTAAATTTTTTTCCATTTTCTAGGAAAAAGAAACTGAGGTTCCATCCTCGCCAGCTTTACCCCGCTGCCAAACAAGGAGAGGTTCAGAGGGTTCTGCTCATGCTGAGTGAGTGGGAGAAAGACAAGAACAAGTGTTCTCCATGTAGATATAAGATCTTTTGTAGATTTTATTTTTTAGAAGCTCTCTCTCTGGATTTGATCACAGAAGTTTCAGTGTTTATGTTTTTATGATGAATGATTGTTTATTTACTCCCTCCTTCCTGCTCAAACAGAAAGAGTCATTGTCGTTTTTTATAGATTTGTTTATCTGAGGCGGCAGCAGCTCAGTCTGTAATGACTTCAAGTCCTAGTAAGGACCAAAATATGGAACTGGTTACTGGTGTCCCTGAGATCCTGTGTGTGTGTTTGTGTTGTCCAATAGCAGAGAGAGAAAACAGATTTTTTTTTTTTTCCCCCTCGGGCATTAATAAAGTATGTCCTCTTCTTCTTCTTAAACTGTTTGTGTCTGCACCAGTGGAGGGAATAGATCCAACGTACCAGCCTGACTCACAGAACCGGCGCTCTGCTCTCCATGCGGCAGCTCAAAGAGGTCTGCTGGAGGTCTGCTACATCCTCATACAGGTGACGTTTTCCATCTGTTATCAGTCTCGTCGAGTCCTTCCTTTGATCAGAACACGTTCTCTATTTAATCATTTTATATTAAAAATACATTAAAAAATAATCAGTGATGTCAGAAGAAGTATCCTAAAAGCTTTACGAGCACATTTCAGTTTCTGGTTTAAATCTCCATATCCACAACTTTACTATTTTGGTTCACTTTTATTGTTGTCATAGCAACGCTTTTAGAAGGAAGGCAGCTCTTGTCATCACTTTAATGAATGCAGGAACAGTTTGTGACTAGAAAAATGAGCTTCAGAGATAAAATGAATTGTCAGCAGAATTCTTCAGTGTGTGTATATTTAATTTAAAACATTTCTTCGTCTTGTGCTTCAGTTTGAGGATAATGTTTTGTTTGTTGACGACAGGCTGGTGCTCAGGTGGACGCCCAAGACAAGGACCTGAAGACTCCTCTGTTGGAAGCGATCATCAACAATCACATCGAGGTGGCTCACTACCTGGTCCAGAACGGCGCCTGTGTCTATCATGTTGTGAGTAAATAAATAAACTAAATTAAGAGTCTTCCCTGAGGTTGTTTGATCCAGATTTTTAGCCTCGGTGTTCTTGTTGTTCAGGAGGAAGATGGATATACCGGCCTCCACCACGCGGCCAAGCTGGGGAACAAGGAGATCGTCAACATGCTGCTGGAAACGGGGCAGGTCGATGTGAACGCACAGGTAAAGAAAATGTCTTTATTAGTGTTTTACGGCCATCGAACAAACTTTCTGATGGAAAGAGTTTAACAAAGTGTTTGGTTTTAAATGTCAAAATAGATTTATTGAAAAGTCTGACAATCTATCGTATACATTAGATAAGAAATCATTTTAACAAACGCATCTGAAACTGATCCTTCCTGTCGGGTTTGTTCCAGGACAGCGGCGGCTGGACGCCGATCATTTGGGCTGCAGAGCACAAACATGTCGACGTGATCAGATCCCTGCTGAACAGAGGAGCTGATGTCACCATTAATGATAAAGTAAGTTTTCCGCTTGCTAATTCTGAGGTTTGTAACGTTCAATTTTCCTTTTGGGAAATTTAGGTTTGTTTTAATTGTGGCGCCCCCCTGTGGACAAAGCGATACCGCTTACCTGTTTTTGTTGATTCTGCCCTGTACATGTTGAGTACACAAATAAAACATACAGCTTCAGGCGATGCTTTTCAGTTACACTTGTCCATTTTCTCATGAAATCCTAACAAATTTGAAATTTTACCAAAACAACTACACATCCATATCCATACATGTATACACACACACGCTTTCCTTCATACCTACATCAGATAGACATAAACTTACATGCATACATAGAACCACACACATGGCAGCCTTCACATCTTTTTTGATGTAGCGTTTTTTGACAACAACAAAAACTAATTCTGCAAGTCAAACATCACTTACCAGGAATTTTTGCTCAGCTTTTTTATACATACTTTTTTGAAGCAGTGTTGGCAGGATGCTGTGAATCGCTTCGTCTGATTTCTATCATTCTTCTCACTGATGATCTCTTGATGCTCATTTTAATTGGTGATCTAGAAAAACTAAATAAATAATTAAACACTTTTTTTTTTTCCTCAAGTAGGAAGTGCATTCTTAAAAAGCACAGAGAAGCATCTGGATTATTTTCATTATCTGTTCCTGTCCAGTTATGTCACAGTCTGGGTCTACATGGATGTACTTGCATGAGAATATTTCAGGTTATTACTTTAAACAGTCCAGTCTCTCCCCTCAGGAGCAGAACGTGTGTCTCCACTGGGCGGCGTACGCAGGGAACGTGGACATAGCGGAGCTGGTGTTGAACGCCGGCTGCTCCCTGACGTCGGTCAACGTGCACGGAGACACGCCGCTCCACATCGCCGCCAGAGAGGGCTACCTGGAATGTGTTACGTGAGTCAAATCGATCGCTTGAGACCTCAAGTTTTCATATACTAGTCACATGTGTCACTTTAACCTGAAGCCATCCGTCCCTCTGAACTAACCAGATCGTTATTTTCTAATTTTTACTAGTTTGATGTTTTTTACTTTGAATGCTAACACAACAATGCAGCGCGAGTTGTTTTGGTTTCATGCTGGTGCTCAAGGGCGACATCTGCTGGATCAAAAAAATCACATATAAAGCCTTTAAAGTAGTGTTTTCTTTTTTTTTTTTTTTTTTTTTTAAGTGACCCTCGTCTGGACACTGATGGGTACGACGCTAACAAAATCTTTTGTTTGTGTGATTCTGGCGCCCCCTGTGGTACCTCTAGTGTCTTAGCTCAGTGGTCACCAAACCTTTTTTTTTGCCTGCTCCCCGTTTGGCGGATGAGATTATTTTTTAAGACCCCCACCTCCACCTGTCACCATACACATCCAAGAGGAAACAGTTAGAAATGATACTGGAACATGCAACAGGTAGGACATGGTTGTGATATCGTTGTCTGTCTCTGCTGCAGGTTGTTTCTCTCCAGAGGCGCAGACATTGACATCATTAACCGGGAAGGAGACACGCCGCTCACACTGGCGCGGGCGGACACTCCTGTCTGGGTCGCCCTCCAGATCAACAGGAAGCTGAGGCGAGGAATAACCAATCGCATGCTTCGGACTGAAAGAATCATCTGCAGGTAGGTTTAAAAAAAGAGCCTCGTTTTCTTCTTTTTTTTTAATTGTATTTATTTATTTAGAATCAAACATTCACAGACATTTGTACATATTGTTCATTTGTGGTTAGACATTAGAGTGACTCCTCTTTTCACATTTTTGTAAATTTATACAGAACAAAATAAATCAAATAGAAAAATAATAAAAATAGAACCGAACAAATCAAATAAAAAGACAAATTGTAAGACTTGGGGTGATTTTCCCAAACAAATACAAAAACTAAGCATACAGGGTTTCATAACTAAAACAAAAGAAGGGAGTTTAGGGGAGATATAGGAGACACATTTAATCCAAAGGTCCTGAAATTTATGTTTAGAGCCTCGTTTTCAAATAATCAAGTTTGAGGGAAAGATAGTTTCTATAATTTATTTAGCAAAGTGATGAACATCAGAGAGTAAGAACAACACAAGCAAGGGTGTAGAGAGGAGGAAACAACGTCAGGAAGTGCAAAGGATCAGTTTTAAGTCTGATGGGACACACAGGTGCTGACAGGAAGTGACCAGAGGCAAAGCACTTTTTTAATATAATTACACTGACAGCTGTTCTCGAGAGTTCTTATCAGCATCCTAAATATCCTCAAAGTCATGAATTGTGTTGGTGTTCATGAAAGAGATGGGTCTTTAGCTTTTTCTTAAAGGTGCAGAGGGACTCTGCAGGTTTGATCCACCACCGGGGGGCGACAGAGGAGAGTCTAGCAAGAGACTTAGTGTTTCTTTTGTTTATTTGTTTCTTTGCTTTCTGTTCCAGCGACATCGCTCAGGGCTACGAGAACGTACCCATCCCCTCTGTGAACGCGGTGGACGATGAAGGTTGTCCGTCAGACTACAAATATGTGTCAGAAAACTGTGAAACTTCAGCAATGAACATAGACCGCAACATCACACATTTACAGGTAAAACATCATCAGCTTCTTAAAACTCACTTTTATAGACTTGCTTTTATGTGATTTCTCCTTTAAAGATCTATCCCTTCCTTTTATTGATTTTAACCTTTTTATCTTTCTCTTATTTAAATGTTTTAGCCTTTAAATGTTTCCCTTCCTGTATTCATTTTACTGCTCTTAGTCTTTTTAAATTCCTATTCCTTTTATCGTTTAACTCTTCAGCTCTCTGTTGCTTTATTCATTTAATCTCCAGTTTATTCCTTCTGTTTTATCTTCATTCTGTGTTTACAGCCTGTGATGTGATGTCGTCACACTCTCCCTCCATTTTCATTTTGTTCTCTCCTGGTTGATTTTAACATATTTTCCTTCATTGTATTGATTTGTTTGGCCCCTCTGTTGATCTCTGTTCTGTTGTCGTGTTGCTGTATTTTCTTTGTCTGTCACAGCACTTTGTAAACATTTGTTTTTAAAGGTGCTATTATTATTATTAGTATTCGTTCTGTTAAACCCATAGTTTATAAAGTCTCATAAAGAAATGACAGCATTGCCTTTCTTTGTTTTTTGACTTCAGCACTGCAGCTGCACTGATGACTGCTCGTCCAGTAACTGTCTCTGTGGACAGCTCAGTATCCGCTGCTGGTACGACAAGGTAGATACAAATGTTTTACAGTCGCATCATAACAGAAAACAGAACTTTAATGGACGTTATTTCAATCCTAGTTTGGATATTGTGCAATAAATAAATAAAGGATTATCTTATCTTATCTTATCTTAAGATAAAATGCTTGAGTTCTTAATATTCTACAACTTTGTTTTAGGTTTGGTTTGAATGCCTGAATTGAAGTCTATAACCAGGGTTTATTATTTAAAGGAGAAACTAACAGAGGAACCAAATCTCAAGTTGTGTTTTTAATATTTCAGGACCAGCGGCTGCTCCAGGAGTTCAACAAAATTGAGCCTCCACTTATATTCGAGTGCAACATGGCGTGCTCCTGTTACCGGACGTGCAAGAACAGGGTGGTGCAAGCAGGCATCAAGTAAGGACTTTAACTACACTCTGAAATTCAGTTGCTGTGATGATTCATAAAATAAAACGATGGGGGGAAAACATGAAAGCTTTGTTTTCCACCACCCAGGGTTCGTCTTCAGCACTACAGGACCGAGAAGATGGGCTGGGGAGTTCGAGCTCTGCAGGATATTCCCCAGGGAAGCTTCATCTGCGAGTAAGAGAGAACAGAGAGAACCCCTACAACAGGTCGCTCTCGTACAGAGAAAGTCAGGGTTCCTAAATTATGCTGTTTTTCTCCTGTCCATGCAGATATGTCGGGGAGCTGATCTCTGACGCAGAGGCCGATGTCAGAGAAGACGACTCCTACCTGTTCGACCTGGACAACAAGGTGTGAACTTTATTTTTTTTTTTAAACATGTTTTTAATCTTAAATTTCTGACACACAGAACAACTGAGGAGCGAGTCAACAACCAATTTGTGTTTTCTTTAAAGGATGGGGAGGTGTACTGTATTGATGCCCGCTACTATGGCAACATCAGCCGCTTCATCAACCACCTGTGTGACCCAAACCTCATCCCTGTGCGTGTGTTCATGCTGCACCAGGACCTGAGATTCCCCCGCATAGCCTTCTTCAGCTCCAGGGACATCCACAGCGGACAAGAGCTCGGGTGAGAGACAAACATTTTCATCTTATTCTCTTTTTTTTAGTCACCAGTATTTCCATTTTAACTTTCTTGATCCTATCATTTTAATTTATAGCTTGTTTTTAAGAGATATTTTCTTAGTTGTATCATGATATTTAAAGTTTTTATTTGTCAACAACATACAGTATTATTTATTTTTTTCATTTAATCCTTTTCTACTTCTTTTTTTATTTCTTTAACAGTATGCTTAACCTGACTATCTATATGCCTTTTAGAAAGGAGGCACAAACCTCGCTCTGGATGCTGCCTCTGTTATATGTATTTTGAATTTGCATACTGTGTATATATATTTCTATGTATTGTTTCCTTCTCACCACTGGGTGTTAAAAATATGAAAAAAATGTTGCAAATATGTGTAATGATCGAAAACGTTAATGTATTGCAATAAAAGTATTTTAAAAAAAACCATATGTGCTTGAAGCCCTATCCAACCATAAGTGTTTAAACCTGACTGGCCTTGTCTTGTGTCATTAGGTTTGATTACGGAGACCGTTTCTGGGACATTAAGAGCAAGTACTTCACCTGTCAGTGTGGATCAGAGAAATGTAAACACTCGGCAGAGGCCATCGCCTTGGAGCAGAACAGGCTGGCTCGTATGGAGGCTTGCCCAGAATCGGGGGCTGACTGTGGGATGAGCATGATGGGAAACTC